ATTGTGGATACGGGCCCAAAACGACGTCGTTTTAAAAAAAAAAAAAAAAAAAAAAAAAAAAAAAACGCGTCATTTAGTTAAAAAAAAAATCGCACGCGTTTTGCCGTTAACGGTGTTATTTTTTTTGGAATTATGAATGTACAGTTATGCCGTTATGAATGTACAGTTATGCAATTATGAAATTATGAACACAGAGCTCTAACATTATGAACTTACAATTATGAACATATATAGTGATAAAATTATGACCATGGAGCTTTAAAATTGTGAATATAGAGCTTCGAAGATTATGAATGTACAATTATAGAGTTATGAATGTACAGTTATAGAGTTATGTATGGAGTTATGAATCTACAGTTATGAGATTATGAATCTACAGTATGAAATTATGAATGTACAGTTATTGATCGAATTATGAACAAAGAGCTCTAACATTATGAACTTACAATTATGAACATATAGTGATAAAATTATGAACATAGAGCTTCGAAAATTATGAATGTACAATTATGGAGTTATGAATGTACAGTTATGGAGTTATGAATGTACAGTTATAGAGTTATGAACGTACATTTATGGAGTTATGAATGTACAGTTATTAACATATAGTAATAAAATTATGAACATATACTCCTATAACGAAGCGGTCTGAATTTTTTTTTTTTTTTTTTAAAAAGAAGGAAATAACAGTGCCTAACGGCATAACGATCGGTTCGACACAGGGGTCCAACGCATAACGATCGGTTCGACACCGGGTGGGCTTGGTGGAGGCTTAGCTTCTTTGAAACTAAAAATGTTTGAGAAAGTATAAAAAGTATAGAACAGATACTACATTGTAAAGAATTATGAGCTAATTAAATCTTTCCAAAACTCGTGCGCATGATTTGACCACTACGAGTATGGCTCAATACTACATTAAAAGAAATCCTAAGAATATTATTTGTATCAATTTAAACTCGTGCGCATGATTTGACCACTACGAGTATGGCTCAATACTACATCAAAAGAAATCCTAAGAATATTATTTGTATCAATTTAATTTTATGTGGACAGAAAGATATGAGAATACTTGTTATTTTTTTTTTTTATAGAAAAATTCACAATTGTTATTTAAAAATGTACATAGCTCGGATGAAATCTGTCCTGTGACTCTAGCTGATAAAAGAGGACCATAAGTTTATCTCTAATGGCAAATTATTCTGTGGACCCGGGTTCAGCGAGTTGACCCGGGTCAAAAAATACACAATTTATATATTGAATGTTCACAATATACATACTAAAAGTTCACAATTTATATATTGAATGTTCACAATTTACATATTTAATGTTTATAATTTACATATTGAATGTTCACAATTTTACATACTAAATGTTCACAATTTATATATTGAATGTTCACAATTCAACGTTGAGTGGTTGAGTGTGTAATAGTTAGCATGCAATGTACAAATTCTGTATTCCACCAACATTTTAACATATGACTTTTTTGGTTACATGACTTCGTCCACAAATTTGGTCGTGGCCTTATAAGCAATAGGGAGTTTTCTTCTTCTTTTTTTTTTTTTTTTTTTAGTTTTATTTTATTGGTGGGAGAAATGAAGTGTTAATATATAATAATTGGAGGCGACTTTGAATCATGATTCTGTGAATACTTAAGAAGAATATAATGTCTTGGGAGAAATGTAGAATACTTTTTTCTTGTTGAAGAAACATAACAATGACTTTTAGTACCAAAAAAAAAAAAAAAAAAAAAAAAAAAAAAAAAACAAACAAACAAAAAAACAAAACAAAAAAAAAAAAACAAAACAAAAATCATGATATCTTCTAGAACAAATACAAAAATAATAGAAAATTACTTCATAAATTCAAAGTTCACATTTATTTTCAAACGTGTATAATGTTGGAGATTTATATAATAAATGTATGTTTGAGCATTTCAAACGTGTTATTAAACTTAAATAATATTTTTGTACAATTTTTTAAAAAATAATATTTGAAAATTATGAAGTAAAATATTGTTTTAAGTTTAGAAGAAATTTTATTAAGAGTTATTTAATCCGAAAAGTTGATCTCAGAAAAGTTAACTTCTATGTGGTTCAATAATTCATAGCAACTGTCCAGAGCAATAATCTACTTTACCTTAACAACTTCTAGGATGAAGAATTATCAAAATACTTACTTTTCATGGTACGAAAGCTAACAACTTCTCTGAAAATCCTCAAACATATATACGTATAAACTTTTAACATTATACATGTTTGAAAAGTAATTGTCAACTTTGTATTTATGAAGTAAATTTATATTATTTCAGTACTTGTTCTAGAATATATATAGCCATATAGGGGTACTAAACGTCATTGTTATGTTTTTTCAACAAGAAAACTCGTTATTCTACATTTCAACCAAGACATTCTTCTTCAATATTCACAGAATATAATCATGATTCAAAGTCGCCTCCAAATTCGTGGACGAAGTCAGGTAACCAAAAAAGTCGTATATTCAAATGTTAGAATACAGAATTTTTACATTGCATGCTAACTATTACACACTGATAAAATGAGATAATGTTTCAAGTGCCGCGTTAATAGATGTCATTTAGAGAAAAGAATACCTTACACAACTGATACCAAATGAGAGAATGTTTCAAAGTGTTTATTCAGTGATAATCATATAATGAAGTCTCGGTACAGAAATATATATCAATTCCAATTCACTTTTTGCAGAATAATCAATTAGTCGAAAATAATATAAATTTTTAAAAAGAACTAAAATAGAAAAAAAATAAATTCAATATTTCATTCTAAAAACATGTACCTGAAATTTTTTTGGGTGCAACGACTGTTTGATCTTCAATTATTTTCCGAAGCTAATTAGTTTGAAACAACATTAAATAATAATAGAGACTTTTGAAAAAAATATGTAGATCACGTCAATATTCAAGTCCTCATTTTAATGAAGAATAATATAAGATATTCTTATTGACTTTTTGTTGCATGTGACAATTTGTCATTACTCATTAATTGACATTTCAAATAACAAAGAAAAAAAAAATAATTTTAAAAAATAGTCCATGCATCATGAAAGGACAAAAAAATTGTTTGATTGTGATAGATATCTGAAGCATTTCCTTTGATGATAAGATATGACCAAAAAATTGGGTGTTGTTTTTATTTTTCTTTCTTTCTCTTTTTGTTTGTTTTTTTAGGGTTTAGAAAAATGTAAATTTGCATGCAATATGGGACGACTGAATAATTCAATAATTTAATTACTTTTTTAATTTATTGGTTTATATTTAACTTAATATATTATTTTCAATAAATCTTTATATATCCTCAACGTCAGGATTCTTAACTTAGGGATGTAAACGAGTCGAGCCGAGCTCGAGCTTGGGTTGGCTTGAGCTTGAGCTCGTTAAGGAAGGCTCGGCTCGAGTTCGAGCTCGATCGAGCTCAACAATTGATGCTCGAGCTCGAGCTCGGCAATTTTCGAGCAGCTCGATCTTGAGCTCGAGTTCTAGCTCGATTTTGGGTTCGAGTTCGGGCTTGATTTTGACATCAAATTTGACCTGTTTGATTTTAAATTCATGTTCCAATTAAAAATAAACTACTTTGTTTTATCCATACATAATTGGTAGTTGTCGGCTAAGTAAATTGACAGAGACTGGAGACTACTCGACTGTCTTCGTGTCTAGTCTTCTGTCGGCTGAGTGCCTGAGCTAGGGCATGGGGAATGGGGAGTTGGGGAAGCCATAGAAGATTAGAAGGGTAGAAATTATTATTATTATTATTATTATTATTATTATTATTATTATTATTATTATTATTATTATTATTATTATTATTATTATATAAGGCTCGCGAGCGACTCGACGAGCCACGAGCCTACAATAATTAGGCTCAGCTCAAGCTCGATTATTAAACGAGCCGCTCGAGTTCGGCTCGAGCTCGATTTTGACCGAGCTCGAGCCGAACTTTGACCAAGCCGCTCGTGAGCGACTCACGAGTAGCTCGGCTCATTTACACCCCTATGTTAACTCACACAATCTTTCATTAACTTATTTAATTTGTTTAGGATTATGTAATTAAAATAATTTGTTTTCACGTTTAAGAAATTTTATTTTCTATACACACAAAATCATATATAAAGTGTTTTAAACTTTTGATTTACAGAAAAATTCACAAAAATTTTTCAAATGTGTATTTTGGATGAAGCACACATTGTAACCTAAATGTGTAATGATAATGTATTTATATTAGTTGATATAACCACAAATGCTAATCGTAATTATAGTCCACGACCATAAAGTTTACCAAAGCAGATCATTATATATTTAAATTCTCAAAATACATATTTACCAACATGGATTTTCTTTTTCTTTGGAAAAAATTTCCAAGAAAATATATATGAAGTATTATGTGAAATCATATGATTCCATGTATGAACTTACTTTAAAAGAAAGCATGCGCTGAGGAAAATTATATAATAATTTGAATTGCTCGTATGAATCAGCATGCATACATTGTCTTGTTTTAAATTAAGTAAATACTAATATCTAAGATAATTATTTGAAAGGGTCAAAATTACAAAATTTGAAAAAAAGTCGAAGTTGGAAGTGATATCTAATACTCCGTAATAATCTAAGCACAATGAGGGCGGCTGGCAGATAAATAGTTGTAATTAAGGAAATTAAACAAATCAACTTGTAATCTTTGTGCATTAAGACCTAATAGTTAATTATCCACAGGTAATATAATTAAGGTTTCTCTGACGTAGAAAGCAGCAACGTAATTTGCTGGCGAAGTCTTTGTGTTTTTTTGTTCCTTAATTCAATAAAAGTGGCGTACCGCGTACGTGTATTGTGTAACATATAAATGTTCATATATATAGTCAACAGCTCCAAGGGCACTAAAATATTATTAAATTAAAGATTGTTACAGTCTCCGATGCCTATAAATATAATTCTCCATCGGATGGATAAATCATTATTATACTCACATCAGATAATTAAGGATAGGAAAATAAATGAAAAGCCCAAAGTGTTTTGTCGTTGTAGCATTAATTTCCATTGTTTTTTCCTTAATTTGTTTCCCAGCAGCCTGCAGTAGCATTCATGCTGCAAGTCCTCATCATCATCAAGATTTTGTGTACTGTCTTTCCAGAAAGCTGAGAAATAATGCCACCTCTCAGGTACTCTACACTCCGAAAAGTCCCTCATTCTTGCCGATCCTGAATTTCTCCGCCCAGAATCTCCGGTTCACGGCGCCGGGAAGCCCCAAACCTGTAGCCATCATCACACCTTTACGGGAATCCCACATCCGAGCTGCAGTGATTTGCTGCCGGAAGTATAACATCCAGCTGAGGACCCGAAGCGGCGGCCACGATTACGAGGGCCTTTCCTATGTTTCCAGCCTCCCGTTTGTCATTCTTGACTTGATCAACTTCCGGTCGATCGAGGTTAACGTTGGGGAGAAGTGGGCGTGGGTCCAAACCGGAGCCCAGCTAGGTGAAGTGTACTATGCCATTGCTAATAAGAGCGACACTTTAGCTTTTCCGGCGGGGTTTTGTCCCACGGTAGGCTCGGGTGGCCACATCAGCGGCGGCGGGTACGGGGCGATGATACGGAAATATGGGATGGCGGCGGACCACGTGATTGACGCCCGAATCATGGATGTTAAGGGGCGAATCCTGGACCGGAAATCCATGGGGGAGGATCTCTTCTGGGCTATCAGGGGCGGCGGCGGCGCTAGCTTCGGCGTCATACTCGCCTGGAAACTGGAACTGGTTCCCGTGCCCGAAATCGTCACGGTATTCACCATTAACAGAACCGAGGAACAAAACTTAACCAACCTGATCCATAAATGGCAGGTTTTCGGCAACAAGGCCGACAAAAACCTCTTCCTCAGAATCTTCCTACAAAACACCAACACTACCAATGGGAGAACAGTACAGGGTTTGTTCAGTGCACTATACCTCGGAAGCTCCGAAACCTTGCTACCTATGATGCAGAAAGGATTTCCAGAATTAGGCGTGACAAAATCCGACTTAACGGAGATGAGTTGGATCAACTCCGTACTCTATCACTTCCCCGTCGGCAGTCTACTCAACCGCTCCTTCCCGCTCAAACGGAGCTACAAGATCAAGTCCGACTACGTCAAACGCCCCTTAAACCACCAAGTTTTCCAAGGGATAATTGAACTGTTTAAAGAAGAAGACGTCAACGGGCCGCAAATGCAGTTAACTCCGTACGGAGGGATAATGGACGAGATTCCGCCGTCAGAAACACCTTATCCACACAGGGCAGGGAACCTATTTTTCCTCGAATACACCGTTGGATGGGACGAAACCGGCGAAATGGCCGCTCAGAAGCATCTGTCATGGATTCGGAAGCTTTACGCTTACTTGGCTCCCTATGTTTCCAACAATCCCAGAGAATCGTACGTGAATTACAGGGATCTTGACCTGGGACAAAACAATTTGGTCGGGACAACCAGCCTGGCTCAGGCAAGTTCTTGGGGTTATAAATATTTCATGAATAACTTCTATAGGCTTGCCAAAGTGAAGGCTTTGGTAGATCCAGATAACTTCTTCAGGCATGAACAGAGCATTATTCCACTTCCATCTCCACTTTGATCCAATTCATTGCCGGCCGGCACAACATTTATGTTCAATTCGTTGTTGTATTACTACTCTGATCTGCATTCTAGGTACTTACAATAAAATTTTGTTTCCCTCACCCATCTTTCTATTATTGTTATTAGATTTTTCTTTTATCATTTATCATTCATATGACTAGGGTATCTGATCTCTTCATTCGTGTACTTTGTAATTTGAATTGATTAATAATAAAGTTTTTTATTTTCATTTGATATCAGTAGATGAAAAGATTATCAATGGCTAGAAATCATGCCGCCATGACGCCAACTTCACCAACCTCCACTGATCGCACCATCTCAAATAGTCAAATGTTGCCTTCCAACCACACCCATCACTTTATCTCCTGTTAAACTTTCCTCTCAAATTACTTATTCTAAAAAACCCAAAAATATATGAGTCACACTTATGTGTTGGTAAAACATATCCAATCTCCACAAACTTTCCTCTCAAACTAAGGGATTTTATCTCCACGAAGTCACGTAACCAAAACATCATGTGTTCAAATGTTGGAATAAAGAATTTGTACATTGTATGTTAACTATTAGACACTCGTAAACGTTACAATATGATAACTTACATAAGCTACCACGGACTAAAATCAGTCTTGAATTATTTAGATCGATCTCGTGCCGGGCCTACTTCGAACTAGTTTTGAGCCTAGACTTATGCTTCTTGTGGGCCGGTCCTAGGCTAGGCCTAGAATAATAATAATTATTATTATTATTGTGATTGTTATATATATATATATATATATATATATATATAAAATTAAATTTCTTTGTTTAAAATTATATTTCACACATGCAATAACATCATAGTTAAAAATCAAAGTTATTTCACCTACTTCAACTTCTTGATGCAATAATGCTAATTAATATATATAAGTAGTCTGGACCAGTTTCAAGCTTAAGGTGCATAAGTTTCAAACTTAAGATGCATCAGTTCGAGGCACTTATCATTCAATTCGCATTCATATAGTCAATAAGCGCATTTTTTATTTTTAATTTTTCTTCATTTTGAGCCGTTAATCTAGATTAGATCAACGACTCTTATCTCACACCATTTTAGGTGGGAGGTGTTGACTATGAAGATTTTATATGTTAGACTATAGACTCCATTTTTATTAAACAAAAAAAAAAAGAATTAATTAGCTTGAGTAAACTTATATGCTTAAACTCTACTAAATTTTATTTATAAATTTATTTTGAAAAAAAATAGTCAAATCGACCTTAAACTTCTATATCAAAAAACAATGAATAACTCTCTTGTGAAATTGTCATTTTTATCCTTGAGACATGTAAGATCAAGATGAATAATTTTTCTACTTTTTAAATTCTTAAAAAAATTAAAAAATTTCTGACTACCAAACTTCGTCTAAATGATTCGCATTATTAAGTTATATAGAAAATAAATTATTGGAAAATTTTGCTCGCATGACTTGATTCACATTATTAAGTTAAATAGAAAATAAAAAATAATGAAAAATTTTGCTCGTATGACTTATCCAATAATACAAATAAATAGTGCAATCTTTGACTTAGAAAAAACTTTTCTCAAGAAATACTATATATGCATATATAGAAGTCATGGCCAAATGAAGCCACTCAAGACCGGCAGTAATTCAACTACAAAAATTTTTATTTTATTATTTCTTGAATTCTTCCACTCGGTTTAGTGGTTTACAGTTTACAGGTAATTTCTGAACAAAACACCACCTCTAAATGCAATTAAATTCCATGTTGAATCATTCAAAATGTTATTATATTATATTATATATTTATATCTAATGTAATTACAATTTTATCTGCCTGCCTCTTTGTGCTCAGATTATTCGATATCATTTGCAACTTCGACTTTTTCAAAGGATGTAATTTTGACCCTTTCAAATTATCTTAAATCTCAGTATTTACTTAATCCAAATTCCAAAACAAGACTATATGCATTCTTGTTCATATCCTTAATTCAAATAATTGCATATATTTAAATTTATAAGTCAATGTCACTCAATTATATATTTTTGAAAATCAAATGATTATACTTGTATATAGTTGGAGTTGAGCGAAATACTCGGAGGTTCTAGATAAAACTAATACATATTTAATTAATACATACCAAAGAGTATTAACCTGGCTCATTTTGGGATTTGATTTACACTCGCTACCCGTGAAAGAGGTTCTATGTTATACAATTCAACATCCGTCTAACAGACTATTATATATATATATATATATATATATATATATATATATATATATATAGTGGTGCAATATAATTAACAAATCCTTTTCCCTTTTCAATGTGTGAGTGGGACAACTGCTTTTTACAAGCATTTTCACCCCTATTTTTCAACTCAAATATGTCTATTTTGATAATCAATTTCTCATTCACCTATTATCCATTTTGAACGTACAATATATCAATTTCTTCATCTTAATACGAAGATTCCGATCTGAATCTACTTTAATCCAATCCAAAGTGGTTGGATTGCACATTAATGGCTATATGCTCAACACGCCTCCTCACATGTGCGGTGGGTTCCAAGCAACACATGTACCGTAGTCGCTTGTGGTGGCTCTGATACCAAATTGAAACATGTACTCCATCTCAACTAAAAGTCTAAGCTGATAGTTGGATTGCACATTAATAACTATATGCTCAACACTTATCAACACACAACATAAATATTGGTTGATATTTTGTAAAAAAAAAACTCACAACTTCTAAACATTAGAGATAAATAATGGACAGTAAATAGGTAATATAATATTGGATGAAAATTCTGATAACATGCTATGTTGGACAATAAAATTCACATGTAATAAATACTAATTAATTTCATTTGTAATACTAGTTAAACAATTATGTACTGTGATAACAACTTGGTTACTGTTTCAAATGAATGGTCACACCATCAAACTCCGAATGATAAAGGTTGACAGATACTTTATACCAATAAGCATGCAGCATGGCGCATGCAGGCTACCGGTAGAATTAATCCAAACACAAATTAACCTCAGATTAGAGTTTCCAATGCAAACAACATAAATTTCTGCTATCAAACTGGAGATGAAACTGGAATGCTCTGTTCATCCCTAAAGAAGTTATTTGGATCTACCAAAGCCTTCACTCTCGCAAGCCTATAGAAGTTATTCAAGAAATATTTGTACCCCCAAGCACTTGCCTGAGCCAGGCTGGTTTTCCCCACCAAATTGTTTTGTCCCAGGTCAAGATCCCTGTAATTCACGTACGCTTCTCTGGGATTCTTCGAAACATAGGGAGCCAAGTAAGCGTAAAGCTTCCGAATCCATGACAGATGCTTCTGAGCAGCCACTTGGCCGCCTTCGACCCATCCAACGTTGTATTCGAGGAAAAATAGGTTCCCTGCCCTGTGTGGATAAGGCGTTTCTGACGGCGGAATCTCATCCATTCTCCCTCCGTACGGAGTTAACTGCATTTGCGGCGCATTAATGTCGTCCTCTTCTTTAAACAGTTTCCATATCCCTTCGAAAACTTGTTTGGTAAACGGCCGTTTGGCGTAGTCGGCCTTGATCTTGTAGCTCCGTTTGTACTGGTATGACCGGTTGAGTAGGCTCTCGACGGGGCCGTTATCGTAGTGATACGCCACCGACTTTATCCAACTCATCTCCGTTAAGTCGGATTTCGTCACGCCTAATTCTGGAAACCCTTTCTGCATCGTGGCTAGCAAGGTTTCGGATCTTCCGAGGTATAGTGCACTGAACAAACCCCGTACTGTTCTCCCCGTTTGATTCGTGTTGTTCGCGTTTCCGATCAAGATTCTGATGAGGAGGTTTTTGTCGGCCTTGTTGGCGAAAAGCTGCCATTTATAGATTAGATTAGTTAAGTTTTGTTCCAGCGTTCTGGGAATGGTGAATACCGTGACGGTTTCAGGCACGGGAACAAGTTCCAGTTTCCAGGCGAGTATCACGCCGAAGTTTGCGCCGCCGCCGCCTCTGATAGCCCAGAAGAGATCCTCCCCCATGGATTTCCGGTTTAAGATTCGCCCGTTAACGTCCACGATTCGGGCGTCGATGACGTGGTCCGCCGCCAATCCATATTTTCGCACCATCGCCCCGTACCCGCCGCCGCTGATATGGCCGCCGGTGCCCACCGTGGGACAAAACCCGGCCGGAAAACCCAAAGTGTTGCTCTTATTAGCAATGGCATAGTACACTTCACCTAGCTGTGCTCCGGTTTGGACCCACGCCCACTTCTTCTCAACGTTAACGTCGATCGACCGGAACTTGATCAAGTCAAGAACGGCAAACGGGAGGCTGGAAACATACGAAAGCCCCTCGAAATCATGGCCGCCGCTTCGGGCCCTCAGCTGAATGTTATACTTCCGGCTGCAAATCACGGCGGCTTGGACGTGGGATTCACGTAAAGGTGTGATGATGACTACCGGTTTTGGGGTTTCCGGCGTCGTGAACCGGAAATTCTGGGCGGAGAAATTGAGGATGGGCAAGAATGAAGGGTTGTTCGGAGTGTAGACAACCTGAGAGGTGGCATTTCTCAGCTTGCTGGAAAGACAATAGAGAAAATCATGAGGACTTGCATGAATGGAGGCTGGGAAAGAAATTAAGGAAAAAATGGAAATTAATGCTAGAAGGTAAGAACACTTTGAGCCTTTCATCATTTTCTTTCTTGATTGAATATAATGATTTAGTGATGGACAATTTATAGGTGGGAGGCGTTGACTATGAAGATTTTATATGTTAGACTATAGACGCCATTTATTATTAAACTAAAAAAAAAAAAAAAAAAAAAAAAAAAAAAAAAAAAAAGAAGACTGAGCTTGAGTATAACTTATATGCAACTTAACGTAACTCTACTAAATTTTATTTATAAATTTATTTTGGAAAAATAGTCAACCCTTAAACTTCTATACCAAAAACAATGAGTAACTCTCATGTGAAACCGTCTCATTGATCTTTTTCCTTGAGTCGAGTCAGGTCAAAATGAAAATGTAATACTTATACTAAAAAAAATGTAATACTTATAATTGATACAATCTCACACAAGTTTTTGCCAAAAACAATTAGGTAGTTGAATTTAAAAAGTTATGTTATAACTAAACATATCTGTTATTTTTGTGTATCTGAACTCAATAGTCTATTATCCACAAGTAATTAGAGTTTAAACAATCGGTGACCGTTGAACGGTCACTAGTCGCCTTTGTCACTAAAGAAGACGATCGACTACCATTTAACACGCTAGTTGTCGATTTCGATCGCCGAAACCGCTTTAATACTAGTGGATAATCAGTTATTGGATTCAAAAACCTAAAAATGATAAGTTGATGTGCTTAATTGTAACTATTTAAAGTTCAGGTGACTAATTTTTTTTTAATAAAATTTAATTAAGTGTTTATTTAACACTTTTTTCTATTCATTTTAAAACTGATAGTCCAATACTATAAGCTTGAAATTTCAAATTCAGTTGTTTTTTTCATCATTTAACTTATTTTTTATTTTGAAGGCCATTTAACTTACTTATATATTACCATTTCGCATAAATTTATTTTACAGATTATTTTATTTAATTTCATTAAACTTTGTTAATAGTGCAAGGCCGGCTTGTACAAGTTTAATATTCTTCCACTAATAAATGGTACGTGTTGAATATCCAACCCTAAATGATTCATTATTAAGTTATATAGAAAAAAATTAATGGAAAATTTTGCTCGTATGACTTATATCCAATAATTACAAATAAATGGACACATTTTCAAAGTCACGCATACATATATGTATAGTAATCATGGCCAAATGAAGCCACTCAAGTCTCAAGGCCGGCAATAATTCAACTACAAATATTTATATTTTATTATTTCTTGGATTCTTCCACTCGGTTGAGTGGTTTACAGTTTACAGGCAATTTCTGACCAAAACACCAATAACTTAAATGCAATTAAATTCCATGTTGAATGTACTCGAAAAAAAAAAAATCCATGTTGAATCATTCAAAATGTTATTATATTATATTATATATCTAATGTAATCACAATTTTATCTGCCTGCCTCTTTGTGCTTAGATCATTCGATATCATTTGCAGAATTGCAGCTTCGACTTTTTCAAATGATGTAATTTTGACCCTTTCAAATTAATCTTAAATCTTAGTATGTATTTAATCCAAATCAAGACAATATATGTATTCTTATTCATACCCTCAATTCAAATATAATTGCATATATTTAAATATATAAGTCAATGTCGCTCAATCATATATTTTTAAAAATAATATGATTATATATATATATATATATATATATATATATATATATATATATAATTAGGTTCTCGTGCGGTTAGGGTGACCATGTGCGATTGTGCGGTTTAATCTAGGCCATTCATGTGGCTTAAATCAACGTTCAGAATTGTCAAAATTATTAAAAAAAAAAAAAAAAACGGTGGAAATTTTGTAATTTTTGCATCTAGGTCAAAATTAAGGTGAGCGAATCTGTGATTAATGTGCGTGAGTTTTGTATATAAGATGCGTGAGGTTTGTGCGTAAGGTGCGTGAGTTTTGTGCTTAATGTGCGTGGGGTTGTGCTTAACGTGAGTAATTGTTAAAACTTAAAGTGTGGACCTTTGTGCTTAAGGTGCGTGAAATTTGTTCTTAATGTGAGTGGAGTTTGTGCTTAATGTGCGTAGGGTTTGTGCTTAATGTGTGTGAGGTTAATGATTAATGTCAGTAGTTGTTGAAACTTAAGGTTTGTGAGTTAATACTTAAAATGCGTGGGGTTTGAGCTTAATGTGCGTGAGGTTATGCTTAATGTGCGTGAGTTTTGTACTTAATGTGCGTGAGTTTGTGCTTAATGTCAGTAGTTGTTAAAACTTGAAGTCTGTGAGTTAATATTTAGGGTGTGTTTGGTTGGTGGGTTTTGTCCATGGGAATGGGTATGAAAGTGATTGTTGTTGTTCGGTTGATAGTTTTAATGCTCATTGGTGTTGATGAATATCATTCCTATGACTCTTTTTGTCTAGGATGATTGTCCAGCGTTTAGACCTAGACAACATTATTCTTGTCTCATTTATAAGAATTGTCCTTTTAAGTTTGACTTAGACTTATGGTCTCGGGAAAGTCACACGAAAGATTGCCCTCATCTTTCGTTTTCCCTTTCAGTCAAATGATCTTCCTTATCATTTGATGGTTATACGAGAGTTAGACCCTTCCAACTTTCGGTCTAATAAGTTTTACTCTCGTCCTTCTCTTGATCTTCACTTCTTCAAGTAGACCTAATGCACTAAACATAACTCAGATTCGTGTAGATATAACATAGTACGAATCACATGGTGAGTTAGTACAACTTTCGTTTAACATGAAAGTTCCAACATAAGAAAAGCAAAAAGAGGGGTCTACAATCCTAGCAAGATTGGTATCATCAAAATCTAAGTACACTTATTCCTAACATAGTTGATTTTTTGAACCCAATGAACACAAATACTTAAATCAAACCGTACAATTTTGCGTACAAGGAATTCAAGTCAAATTCATGATAGGAATACAATCCTACGAAAAGATTATTTCTAGAAAATAACAAGCACAAGAAACGAAAGGTAAGTGTTTAGTTGGAGTCGAGCGAAACAATCCTTCCAAGCGTTGTTGTAGCTTAGGTTTACTCCAAGCTCATTTTCGGATTTGATTTACACACCACTTGCGCGCAAAAGGGAGCTTCTATGCTATACAATTCAATATCATTCTAAAAGGCTCTTGTATATATAGTGTTGCAAATTTCATTCTTTTTCCAATGTGGGAGTGGGACAAGTGCTTTTTACAAGCATTTTCCACATCTATTTTCATCTCAAATGGACCTACTTTAAGAATCAATTTCACATTCACTTATTATTCGTTTTGAGCGCACAATATATAAATCTCTTCGTCTTACTACGAAGAACCTGAATTCACGTTACTCGACCCAAATCATAAGTGGACCTCATATATTTATATATATATATATATGTGTGTGTGTGTGTGTGTGTGTGTGTGTGTGTGTGTGTGTGTGTGTGTGTGTGTGTGTGTGAGAGAGAGAGAGAGAGAGAGAGAGAGATATTTATACTACAAAATAGCCTCTTACAATGCCATATTATACTATTTCTCCAACAATTCAAGCCCCCAATCTAATGTTCATTGCAAGAATAAAACTTATCCAATTTCGTTCTCTTATCAATTTGAGCCGTAGAATGATAGTTGAGCAGTAGGAGGATAAAATTAGATAAAATTTTCAAATTTGAGGACTTAATTTAATAAAAATAATAATCGAAGATCAAATCAATAATTTCACTATAGTCAAGGGACCAAATCTTTCATTAACTCTTTGTATATATAGTAAGTCATCTCAAAAAGTAGGTATATATAATCAAAATCATAGAATTAGTAGTCATGCCCCACTATAAAGGTTTTCCTCAGCGCATGCTTTCTTTCATATAGTTTCATACTTGTAATCATATCATTTCGCGGAATACTTCACATTTTCTTGGATTTTATTTTCTATTTTTTTAAAAATCCATGTTGGTAAATTATTTATTTTGAGAATTTAAATATATAATGATTTGCTTTGGTACGTAAACTTTATGGTCGTGGACTATAATTTTTTATATTTATAAGGAGGGGGAAACCCAGAGAAAAACAGAACTACAAGTGAGAAAACTGAAAGAAAGTGCACAAGGTTAAGCTAAACTTAAAAGCCTCCAGTACGGCCAGCCCTCATTATCGTCCTCAAGGATGTAAGCAATGCCAAAGGGTGGAGACATGAACAAGTGGAGACCTCTTGAGAGTCCTTTAGCCATTTTAGCCATGAAATCAGCTGCTCCATTTTGTTCTCGACAGATCCCTTGGACTGTCCAGGACTCCAGAGTGCGCAATTCTTTCTTACAAGCAATAAGAATATTGTGGGCTACTGAAGAAGGTGGTGCAGTGCCGTTGATTAGGCTAAGCAACTCTATTGCATCTGTTTCGAAGATCACCTTTTTTACAGTCCATGTACGTTGCAAGCTGAATTCCTTTGAGGAGAGACCATGCTTACGCCTCCAATGGGGAGCAGCTACCTATGTTGTAAGCAAATCCCTGCACCCAGTTACCCATATCATCTCGGATAACTCCTCCACCTCCAGCTCTATTTCCATCCTGATTCACAGCCCCGTCAATGTTTATTTTTACAAAACCATTCGGAGGTTTGGACCATGAAACTGGTTTCCACGAAAGCTCCTTCATGGCTCGGGCACCTTTGGCTCTGTCGTGGACTATAATTAGGATTGGATTTGTGGTTTTATTAAAAAAAAAGAATTGGATTTGTGGTTATATCAACTAATTACATGATGATTTTATATATATTACAATACAATTTTAATTATTTAATATAGAGAAAATTTCAATTTTGATCCACTGACTATTGGGGTTGTGTTAATTGCAACACTCGATTTTCAAAAATGTTATTTTAGTACCTTGACTATGCAATTTCTATCAATTTTGGTCACTCCGGCCAAATTACCAGCCAAATCTGACCAGAAAATTTTAATAGGTCAAATAATGAGAGTTTTTTGGTCATTTTACTTTCTTCCTTTCTTCCCCAGCGAGCAACTCCATTTCCGGTGAGATTTTACCTAAAGTACCCAGGTTGTAGCTCTTAACACTGC